GGTCATCCTCAAGAAGGTTGGAGGGAGGGGGTAAAGGAGGTATTGTGGGCGAGGGACTTGGACTTCCAGCAAGCATGAGTGTGTTAGATAGGAGTGAATGGAGACAAATGGTTTTTGGGACCTGACGAACTGTTGAGTGTGAGCAGGGTAATATTTAGTGTGTGTGTAAACAGTACAGTGGTATCTTGATATTCGAACTTAATCCTTTCCAGGAGGCTATTCGAACAGTGAGTTGTATGAATATTGAATAAATTTTTCCCATAAAAAATAATGTAAATTAGATTAATCTGTTTTAGATTAATCTAAAAAAAGCATTTTAAGTGAAAATATTTCTTATTAAAATCTGTATAATAATATTTGCATGCATAAAATCATACATGAAAACTATAAAAACAATAAATGCATGAAATAAATGAAAATTTAACTTCAATGAGAAGTGATGATGGCCTAAGAGGAAGGTTCAGAGACGTTATTGTTTGGAAAGGTTGTCACCTTCCATAAAAACATCAGGTAACTTCCTGTCTGGTGTTTTTTTTTTTTGCTTTTCTGTCTCTGCAATAGCATTTGAAAATGATGAGGATTCACTAGCATTAGATTTTTCTTCTTTGCTTAAAAAAACTGTCCATTGTTGTCTGCATTTGACGACTTTTCAAAATTTTTCTAAAGTGATCAACAACATTGTCACTGAACATTTTGATGCTTCTATTCACAACAGTAATGCTAGGATGCCATTTTTTCCACCAGCTCTGTGTTTGAGCCCAATGGTAACACAGTTCCTTAATTTCTGGAGTGGCAATGTTGGCCTTACTGCTTCCCTCCTCTGAAGAAGAAATTTCCTCAACCACTTCTTGCTACTTGTGTGGGTCTTGAAGTTCTTCTGTGGTGATCTCATTCTCATGATCCTCCACCAACTTTGCTACATCCTCATCATCCATTTCCAAACCCATGGACTGGCCCAGAGAAACAGTATCTTTCACTACAGGCTCTGCCTCAAAGCCTTCAAAATGTCTGACTGACACACAGTCTGGCCACAGTTTTTTTAAGGCAGAGTTCAATGTACTGAGAGAAACCTCCTCCCCCTTAAACACTGGAGGATATTAAAATGTTTTTTCCATTACCAGAAGTGCCCTTAATGGTACGTTTTTTTCCACAAGGTACTGCTTCAAACTTCATGTACTAACTCAGCGAAGAACTGCCTTGTTACTCAAGCTTTACTATTAGCCCTCCACATTACACTGAGTTTACTTTTTATCACATTAATTTTATTAAATACCCTTAGATTTTCATTGTGGTAGACTAGCAACCGTTTAATTTTGCAGCCCCCACTAGCATTACCACACAACAAGTGTCAGCCTGTCTTTCATGGGCTTGTGTCCTGGTAATGATTTTTCTTTTTTTATGATGTAGGTTCTCTTAGGAATTCTTTTCCAAAAGAGGCCAGTTTCATCACAATTAAAAACTTGAAGAATAAATCCCTCAATGTCTACACAGGTTTTAATTCCTTAACAAAATTTTCAGCCTTATCTCTGTTAGCACCGGCAGCCTCCCAACGTTGTACTGTACTATGAATCCCATTCCTCTTTTTAAACCTATCAAACAAGCTCCTTTCATTAAATTCAACACTTTCAGCACTGTGTCCCAGGGTGTCTTGCCTAAGATTACTATATAACTGCTTTGCTTTTTCACAAATTATTGTTTCAGAAATACTGTCACTGGTCAATTGTTTTTTGCTAATTCATTTTTCATCTCTTTAATTATCTGTGACTTTTCACAACAAGAAATATTTAAAAAACACCACAGAATAACAATGAAATACCAAAAAGTTTCACAGAGCTTGTATGAACGATGCTTAATGAATGAAAACTGATGAGAGACTGAGTACATGACGCTTTGTCTTCGCTGGACTTTGTCCAGATGGACTGTTGTCTTTAGGTTGAATTTTTTTTTTTTTTTTTTTTTTTTTTTTTTCAACAAGTCGGCCGTCTCCCACCGAGGCAGGGTGACCCAAAAAAGAAAGAAAATCCCCAAAAAGAAAATACTTTCATCATCATTCAACACTTTCACCACACTCGCACATTATCACTGTTTTTGCAGAGGTGCTCAGAATACAACAGTCTAGAAGCATAAACATATAAAGATACACAACATATCCCTCCAAACTGCCAATATCCCAAACCCCTCCTTTAAAGTGCAGGCATTGTACTTCCCATTTCCAGGACTCAAGTCCGACTATATGAAAATAACCGGTTTCCCTGAATCCCTTCACTAAATATTACCCTGCTCACACTCCAACAGATCGTCAGGTCCCAAGTACCATTCGTCTCCATTCACTCCTATCTAACACGCTCACGCACGCTTGCTGGAAGTCCAAGCCCCTTACCCACAAAACCTCCTTTACCCCCTCTCTCCAACCCTTTTGAGGACGACCCCTACCCCGCCTTCCTTCCCCTATAGATTTATATGCTTTCCATGTCATTCTACTGTGATCCATTCTCTCTAAATGACCAAACCACCTCAACAACCCCTCTTCTGCCCTCTGACTAATACTTTTATTAACTCCACACCTTCTCCTAATTTCCACACTCCGAATTTTCTGCATAATATTTACACCACACATTGCCCTTAAACAGGACATCTCCGCTGCCTCCAACCGTCTCCTCGCTGCTGCATTTACCACCCAAGCTTCACACCCATATAAGAGTGTTGGTACTACTATACTTTCATACATTCCCTTCTTTGCCTCCATAGATAACGTTTTTTGACTCCACATATACCTCAACGCACCACTCACCTTTTTTCCCTCATCAATTCTATGATTAACCTCATCCTTCATAAATCCATCCGCCGACACGTCAACTCCCAAGTATCTGAAAACATTCACTTCTTCCATACTCCTCCTCCCCAATTTGATATCCAATTTTTCTTTATCTAAATCATTTGACACCCTCATCACCTTACTCTTTTCTATGTTCACTTTCAACTTTCTACCTTTACACACATTCCCAAACTCATCCACTAACCTTTGCAATTTTTCTTTAGAATCTCCCATAAGCACAGTATCATCAGCAAAAAGTAACTGTGTCAATTCCCATTTTGAATTTGATTCCCCATAATTTAATCCCACCCCTCTCCCAAACACCCTAGCATTTACTTCCTTTAAAACCCCATCTATAAATATATTAAACAACCATGGTGACATTACACATCCCTGTCTAAGACCTACTTTTACCGGGAAGTAGTCTCCCTCTCTTCTACACACCCTAACCTGAGCCTCACTATCCTCATAAAAACTCTTTACAGCATTTAATAACTTACCACCTATTCCATATACTTGCAACATCTGCCACATTGCTCCTCTATCCACTCTATCATATGCCTTTTCTAAATCCATAAATGCAATAAAAACTTCCCTATCTTTATCTAAATACTGTTCACATATATGCTTCAATGTAAACACCTGATCTACACATCCCCTACCCACTCTAAAACCTCCTTGCTCATCCGCAATCCTACATTCTGTCTTACCTCTAATTCTTTCAATTATAACCCTACCGTACACTTTTCCTGGTATACTCAGTAAGCTTATTCCTCTATAATTTTTACAGTCTCTTTTGTCCCCTTTCCCTTTATATAAAGGGACTATACATGCTCTCTGCCAATCCCTAGGTACCTTCCCCTCTTTCATACATTTATTAAACAAAAGTACCAACCACTCCAACACTATATCCCCCCCTGCTTTTAAACATTTCTGTCATGATCCCATCAGTTCCAGCTGCTTTACCCCCTTTCATTTTACGTAATGCCTCACGTACCTCCCCCACACTTACATTCTGCTCTTCTTCACTCCTAAAAGATGGTATACCTCCCTGACCAGTGCATGAAATTACTGCCTCTGTTTCTTCCTTAACATTTAAAAGTTCCTCAAAATATTCTCGCCATCTACCCAATACCTCCATCTCCCCATCTACTAACTCCCCTACTCTGTTTTTAACTGACAAATCCATATTTTCCCTAGGCTTTCTTAACTTGTGTTTAACTCACTCCAAAATTTTTTCTTATTTTCATTAAAATTTCTTGACAGTGCCTCTCCCACTCTATCATCTGCTCTCCTTTTGCACTCTCTCACCACTCTCTTTACCTTTCTTTTACTCTCCATATACTCTGCTCTTCTTATAACACTTCTGCTTTGTAAAAACCTCTCATAAGCTACCTTTTTCTCTTTTATCACACCCTTTACTTCATCATTCCACCAATCACTCCTCTTTCCTCCTGCCCCCACCCTCCTATAACCACAAACTTCTGCCCCACATTCTAATACTGCATTTTTAAAACTATTCCAACCCTCTTCAACCCCCCCACTACTCATCTTTGCACTAGCCCACCTTTCTGCCAATAGTCGCTTATATCTCACCCGAACTTCCTCCTCCCTTAGTTTATACACTTTCACCTCCCTCTTACTTGTTGTTGCCACCTTCCTCTTTTCCCATCTACCTCTTACTCTAACTGTAGCTACAACTAAATAATGATCCGATATATCAGTTGCCCCTCTATAAACATGTACATCCTGGAGCCTACCCATCAACCTTTTATCAGGGTAAATTTCAAATACGTATGAAGTCAAATTTTTCTTGAAAAATTTGGGCAAATATCAAGTTCTATGAATATAGGAATGTATGAATACTGAGATTCCACTGTATTCATATTGCCTTCCTATTCAATTTGTGTATTCTCATCCATTTAATCTCCCATTCCTGATACTATTGACTCTCCTCTAATTAACAGCTGTCTTCTGTTGTGTAGTGCAGTATCTAACGAACTTTGTGTAAACACATGGTTTGTTATTCTTGACCTAGTCAAGTTGAGACTGTACATCCTATGGGTTTTATGATTATTGTATATTTTGTAAAATCAGTGACTGAAATAAAGAATCTAAATTTATATTAATCTATACTCAGAGCTGCTAGTGTCATATAATGATTGCTACCAAGGATATAACTCACCAACATAGAACAAGGTAAGATTAACCGGGGTAATAACCAAGGCATCTGCTGCCAGTTTTGGAAGCACCATCCGCAAACTCTTGCCCACAAACTTTGAGTCTAAGTATTTGTACCTATAAGGGAAAAATCACATTACATTTTACTGAATAAATTGAAAGTATTAGTATGCACACTAACTGTTCTACTTCAATAAACACACCCACCCCAAAGTCTTATGTATGTGGCATGTATCAAGTGCTGCAAAATTACAAACACAAACTAGAACCATCAACAAAATATTAACACCCACAGCAAGAACCTCCTGGTTAAGTCTGCCATCTTAAAAAAAAAAAATCATGTATTTACACAATATCTGCAGAATAATCACAACTATCAATTGACTGCCTAAAGTCTGCTCATAATAGTAAGAATAAATTTATACAATATTCATGAGGTTGCAACAAAAGACAATATAAAAATTTTGTGTTTTGTTAAATAATTATGTAAATTTTTTAAATAGTTTTTTAAAACTTTTGCTTTCATTATAAAGGATACACAAAAAACACTTCAGTTCCAAAAAAGGGACAAAATTTGCATGACTTCTACTCTATTCTGGAGCACGGTTTTTAAAATGCCAACTAATATAACAACTATCCAACAACTTGTATTGAGCTGTACTCAGTCACACTCTCTCATGCACTCCAGACAACAAATATCCCCACCTCTCCTTTAGAATGCACACACTGTACTACCCACCTCCAGGACTCAGGTCTGACTAACCAGTTTTCCTGAATCACTTCACAAAATGTTACTTTGCTCACACTCCAACAACTTGTCAGGTCCTAAAAACCATTTGCCTCCACTCCTAACATGCTCATATAACATAATAGCTAAATAATAGCTAAATTCAAATCCAAATACCTACAAAAATCTCTCACAGTGATAAACATCTACAGAGTACCACAGTCAAATATTACCAGTTTTAGTGAAAACCTAGGAAGCATGATAACTGATGCACACATAATTAAAGATCACTTACTACTCTCAGGAGACTTCAATATAAATCTCCTGCAAGACCAGGACCCACATGTAATTGAATTCACAAACACTGAATAACTGCTTGTTGCTAACAACAGTAACAAAACCTAAAAGAATTACAGAGACTAATGTTTCCCTATCAGACCACATCTAGACCAACACTATATCCCTTTTAAAATCAGGCAGAATCACAGATAATACCACAGACCACTACCCTACCTTTATCATAACTAATACAGATAAATTATCCCAAGACACTACTAAAGTAACCTTCTGACTTCATAATGAGGCAGCCATTAATTTAAAACTTCACAACAGCAATGACAAACATCGACTGGCAAACTGAGCTAGAAATCTATACAGATACTGATGAATGTATTAATAATTTTCTAAAAAAGACCCAATACCTCTATAACAAGCACTGCCCTAAAAAATCTAAACAGATCACAGCTAAGAGACTGAACAATCCTTGGCTAACACTCAGCATCCTCAAATCCATAAATACAAAGTACCTATATGAAAAACAGTACAGAATGGGTCACATAACCAGAGACCAAACAAAACATTACTCATCAATCCTAACCAGCCTGATGAGAAGGGCAAAAAAATTGTATTATTAGAACAAATTATCCAACTTAAAAGGTGATATAAAAAAGACCTGGAAAATCCTATCTGAAATTCTAGGAACAAAAAAGATATCAGGAAACAGAACAATCAAACTAACAAAACCAGATGAACCGCAACTCCCACCAACTGAAACAGCAAACAGACTCAATGTTTTCTTCTCCACCATACGAAAAAACCTTGCGGGTAAAATCCCACGCTCAAATACCCCACCTAATGACTACCTCACTGGCACCTACCCGAACACACTGTTCTTAGCTCCGACTAACCCAACAGAAGTCTCCCTTATTATCAACACACTAAAGAACAAGACAGGAGATTTAAATACCTTACCACCCTTTATATACAAAAAACTTCACAAGTACTGTCACCAATTATTGCAACACTAACAAATCCATTGAATCCTCTACCTTCCCTACAGTTCTCAAAATAGCAAGGGTCACCCCGATACATAAAGGAGGAGATCAAGCAGACTTGAATAACTATAAGCCAATATCCAACTTACACCCTCTCTCTAAAATCTTTGAAAAATTAATTCATAAGCGAATCTATTCCTACCTCATCTCCCACAACATACTCAACCCCTGCCAGTTTGGGTTCAGGCCTAATAAAAATACGAATGATGCTATTATACACATGCTAGAACAAATATACCCTGCACTCGAGGAAAAAAGTCCCATTGGGGGTCTTCATTGATTTACATAAAACTTTTGATACAGTTGACCATGATTTGTTGCACATAAAATTATCGCACTATGGTATAAGAGGGCACTCCCTCAACTACCTAAAGTCATACCTTAGCAACAGAAGCCAATGTGTGTACACAAATGGAGCAAACTCTTCCACACAGCCAATTACGGTTAGTGTCCCACAGGGAAGTGTCCTTGGCCCTCTTCTCTTTCTCATTTACATAAACGACCTACCAAATGCATCGCAACTTCTCAAACCCACACTATTTGCAGATGACACTACATACGTCTTCTCTCACCTAAGCCCAGTCATACTAGCCAATTCTGTAAATACCGAATTACAGAAAATATCTACCTAGATGATGATTAACAAACTTACTCTCAATATTGACAAAACCTACTTCATTCAGTTTGGGAACAGTACTACAGATATTCCTCTTAAAATAATGATAAATGGATCACCTATCACAAAGCACACAGAGGGAAAATTCTTAAGAATCCAACTAGATAATAGACTCAAATTTCAAACACATGTACAACAAATTTCCAAGAAAATCTCCAAGACTGTAGGCATACTATCGAAGATACAGTACTATGTTCCACAATCAGCCCTCCTGGCCCTATATCACTCACTCATTTACTGCTATCTCACCTATGGAATCTGAGCATGGGGCTCAACAACAATAAATCATCTCAGACCATTAATTATCCAACAAAAGGCTGCAGTCAGAATAACAAATTCCTACTCCAGGCAGCATACTCCACCAATATTCAAAACTCTAAACTTACTCACCGTACAAAACATCCATACTTATTATTGTGCCTACTACATACATAGAATGCTAAACTCAGATATAAACTCTCCCCTCAAACTTCTCCTTACCAACCTCAACAGAACACATGACCATAACACAAGGCACAGATTACTCTTTGATGTTCCCCGTGTCCATCTCACACTATGTAAAAACTCAATGCACATAAAAGGCCCAAAAATCTGGAATTCATTACCTATGAATATAAAAGAAACACTGTTTATCAGTTCAAGACTCTTCTTAAAAACCACTTACCCACAACGAAATAAATACTGAATAACTATCTCATAAATGTATAACCTGTGACCCTATCAAATTATGTTTTTCTTTAATTACATTACCTAATAGAATACTCCATTCTCTTGAAACGCACAGTAACTCATTTAATAACAAAAAAAGGCACAATACCATGACTGGAACGATACACAAATAACCCGCACATAAAAGAGAAGCTTACGACGACGTTTCGATCCGACTTGGACCATTGACAAAGTGACTTTGTCAATGGTCCAAGTCGGATCGAAATGTCGTCGTAAGCTTCTCTCTTTTATGTGCGGGTTATTTGTGTAACTCATTTAATGACCATATGACCTATTTCTGCACTACAAATCATTGATTTTATTCGATTTGATCAGATTATACTATACATTATTATGCTACAAATTTGTATAACTTTAATGCTTCTTATTTGAAATACTCAGTTGTACTTTCATGTTGTAATTTGTTTACTGTAATTTTTACCACTGAATATATCATTGCTTAGTTAATCTTAAGTTAATTTTAAGCCTGCCCATAATGCTCTGCATACAAGGGGCTTTTGGAATGTACACCCAATCACTATTTCTTTGTACAACTATGTATCATGTCCAAATAAAAAAATAAGTAAATAAATAAATGCCTGCTGGATGTCCAAGCCCCTTGCACACAAAACCCCCTTTAATGCCTCACTCCATCCTTTCCTAGGATGACCCCCCTACTGTAAAATAAGTTCAATATCATGGCCAGGCAACACAGGAGATGCATTATTTTTATGGTGTGCAAAGTCAGTTGTTTCTGTTTCAGATGCATTCATAAGCTAGATATCATTTATTAATCATGTAATAAGAAATTTATACTTGAGCTATTTCTCTTGACTGACATTTACTCCAATATTCTTGTTCACCCAATAAGAATATTGTACTGCTATAAACACAGAGGAAGACCACAACATGAGCAGAACGTGTTTACAAGCTGAGCTAATGAATTTTTAATATGCTATATAGTAAATGTTCTAAATAAATAAATGCATAAATAAAGGGCAATAATTTAAAATTATATCTATAGAGTAAAATAAAATTAGTAAATACCCATAGAACATCTTATCCTCTAACTTAAATACAGCAATGTGGAGTTACCAACACTATACTGAGCAACACTGTATCCCACGATGCCTGATATAAGCTGCCCACTAGTTATTTCTAGACTGGCAGTTAACTATATATAAGTACTGTATAGGTAATCTAATTTAGAATAGCTAATATGTAAGATTAGTCACTATTTAGATCATGCAGAATTCTACCCTTTATAATGCTTGAGAAAATGAACTCTGTTTGTATGGCAGATTGCTTAGGAACTCAATGGTAATTTCTAATATCAAAATATGTCAATGAATATGCAGTGAAGGGTGCAAGCTGCTTGGTTTTCCAAGTGCCTTTTCCATAATATGATGCAATGCTTACTACTAGAATTGCATGCATATACTGCTAATTCCAATAAACAACAAATGTATTAAAGTGCATAAATACCACTGAATACAGCTAGGTACATAAATATCAGCACCTGTACTTTCTTAAAATTATACAGGTATTTAGGTTACTAAAAGTAATAAAGAGTTTTTATGCAGACAGTGAGGCTCACTCGAGAATATGTTTGAAAGAGGGATAATTTTCCAGTAAAAATAGGTTTTCAACAGGGATGTATGATGTCACCATG